TTTTCTTCAATAAATAATTTATTTATTGCCAATTAATTCGAAATATGAATATGAAACAATTAAACATTAAGATAACTCATAAATATATTTGTAAATATATTGATGTATATTTAAAAGAAAAACTTATGGAGGCACTATAATAGTACTTATTTAATATTAATGATACTTAATTTAATTAATAATACTTAATTATTGATAAATTTTACTAATTCTAACTATTTTTTTTTAATTTCAGGGGTGAAATTTATATTTTTTAACACATGACACAAAATTAGCTACAAATCCATCATATAAATATGTATTGAATAATAAATAATATATAATAATATAAAATACCCATAAAAATAGTTTAAAAGCTTAACTTTGCACAAAAGCCAATCACTATTATTATAATAAATTATTATTAATCACTTTATATAAGCCGAAAAATGCGATGCGTGCCTGGATTCGCAATCGACTAATTCATCTCTCGCGAAATATACCGCCTTCTTACTACCAAATCTACGTCCGCGTAAAGTCCGCGTGGTAATTTTTACCGTTAAAAAAGAGCGCAATAGTCACATACCGCTTTTTTACTACAGGTTTCGTGACGTATTTCACGATCTTATTTAACGAATAGGGTGGTATTAAACAATGCCGCCTTATAACTTCAAGTTTTATGACGTATTTGATATCCATCTTTTAGGAATAGAGCAATTACTGTCTAATGCCGCCTTTTTACTATATAATATGCATCATTACGTCATCATTTTTTAAATATAAATGGCATATTTGTAAGAATGCCGCCTTTTAACTTAAATATTTACACATGCCGCCTTTTTACTTCCAAAATGGTGACATTATGTCACTTGCCGCTTTTTTCAAATTTCAAAAATCGTAGAAAAAATAAATTTTTCAAAAATATTTTTGAATATTTAGATAGAGTAGGGTCACATTAGTCTAAAAATGCAACAATCTCAAAATTAAAAAAAAATCACTATTTCTCACTTTTTCTATTATACAGTGACACACAAGCTACCACCTCCTATAATAAGTATCGTATGGAAAAGCCAACATATATTGGTTTATTATAAGTAACTAGTATTTTTTGCATTTGGATGGCGACTAAGTTTTCTGAGAAAATTGTTAAGTCCTTGAAATATGGCTTTGCAATGAGATTTTCAGCCCCATCTTTCCTTTTATTTTTTTCCCATTCGGTAACAAGTCTTATATCAACTCTGGAAGCAAAAGCAAAAACACTCCTCGAAAAAGGGGAGAGTAAACAAACAAGAAAAAGCCTGACACATCTCCACGGTCAGAAGGAGCGAGAACTTTTCACCTCTGCTCTGGTAAAGAGAGAAAAAATCCAGGATGGAAAACCGTCCAATGTAAACACATCGAGTTGGCGAGTCATCAACTAGGAACGAGGGTCATGACCAGGTGCTCACAGTTGGAATTGACCTCAAATCCAAGGAGGCAATAGAAAATGAGGGATATATCTTCCATTATAAATTCGGGACAACACTGGTATCAGTTTTAAGGAGAGACTAAGTTAAAGAGGTGGAGAAGATGGACACAGATACCTCAGCGGGAGAGAAGCTCCTCAACTTTGGGACGGTGGACCAAACCCCGACGGTGGAAGTACTACCTTCGGTGGAGGTAGATGTCCACTCCCCGAAGGAAGAACAAATGTTGTCAGAGAAGAGTGAGAAATACACCACACAATATGTCTTTAAGGTCGCGGTGATTAACCCCCTTCCCAGTCAGTCAACATTCTAATAATTATACCTTATAGTTAATGAATCTTCAGTAGTCGAGATCACCACTATAAAATTGATATGAAGTTGTACGAATAAGTTTAGTTTGCTTTGGTATTAACAGTTTTTTTAGCGATTATCTGGTTATGTAATATCTCATTAAATTTGACTGTTTTAAATATATGGGTTTTAAAATGAAATGTTTCACTTCAAATTTTCAGTCAGTGATCGTATAGACCGGCTCTGATCATAATATAAACTATCCGTGTATATAAAAGAAATTTGAAGGATGCAGACACAATATTAGAGTATGATCAATTTCTTACATAACACATTTAAATAAACAGCAATATATTTTATTGATCGCTACATATATACATGCAGCAGAGAGTCCAGAGTTCACGTGGACTTGACGAGTATTTCACGGCGAAACACACTCATGATTAAATGACCTACTTATTTTGATTTTTTTTTATTTTTATTCTTGGCTTTAGGTCGTTGGGGGTTTAAAGATGTTACTGGATTTTGTTTATTATTTTATTTTTATTTACTCACTTACTGATATTATTAAAAAAATCTTAATCGAAAAAAAAGGAGGATGACCTACAAGAAAAAGCGAGATCCTATCTATAACATAAATTTAAATTTAAAATTCACATTAATTTTATAATTTCATCTGCGCCTTGTTTTAATCGCTTTTTATCGTTGTATTTTTCTCCTAAATTCAAACTTTTAAATTAATCTGTCAGAATAAGGTGTTCCTACAAATTTAATAAATAAATTAGGATAGAAAATTGTCCCCGCTTGGAAACTAGGCAGCAGTATGACAGCTCAAAGTAAGTTGTTAACTGGGTTAAACAAGATATAAACACTACGTGAGATAATTTAAATATACCCGATTAAAAATCCTTGCGCAAAAAGCTATTCGTAAAAAGTTTTGCGCCTGTTGTGCTAAAAACCCAATAATTAAAATGTCGAAAGTAGAAAGCTAAATATATTTTTTTTGCAGGAGAAAAATTCAGATATATATCGTTGTTGAGAAGTTTTAAGCCGCCATGGTATAAATTTTCTGATTTACGAATTTTAACGATATTATTCTTTATGACTTTACTTTATAACTTTATGTTTAGAGCAAAACTAGAAGAACAAAGGATTAAAAAGATCGAAAATATCTTAACCACCTAAGATTCGCTGATAACATAGTCATAACTGCCAATAGTCTCAAAATTAATTTAGCAAAACCTAAAGTAATGTACAACGAATTGGTAGACAGAACAGACATTGTAGTAAATAACACAACACTGGAAATAGTAAAAGAATATATATATTTGGGGTAACTTATATACAGCTCGGGCTCTCTATTTCCAGAAATTAATAGAGGGCTTAAGTTGAAGCATGGAGTACTTATGGAAGAAACTTCAAATCATCAATTCAAATGTAGCATGCCACTTTATCTAAAAAAGAAAACATTCGACCAATGTGTACTACCAGTCGTGACCTATGCATCTGAAACCTGAAACTTAAAATGGATACTATAAGGAAACTGTAGGTCGCACAACGCACAATAAAACGAAATATGCTGGAAATAACCAAGAGATGCCGTAAAAAATAGATTTTAGGTAATTGTAATAATAATTTCAGGTAATATACAGGGTGGTCCGAACTGTATTCCGGAAACTTCAGGAACATATTCTACAGATAAAAACAAGTAAAAAAGTTCGTATAAATGGATGTCCTAAGATGCCTAGTTTCAGAGATACAGATGTAGTAATACAGATGTAGAAATTTCATTTTTATTTCAATTTTTTCTAAATAATTTCTGAAGTAACGTCAACATTTGGATGAAAATTGGGGTCTGGGAGTTTTTAGATATGAGAAATTTGATTTTGATATCAACATGACTGCTACTAGTAGAGGGCGCCACCTACATGTGTTTTAACTGTTTTGAAGGGTAATAACTTTTTGTCCATACCTGTATAAAACTATCGAACGAAAGAATATACATCTCTGAGACTTTTTACGTAAAAAATATCTCTTTATAAAAATCGCTACGAGCAACCGTTCTTAAGATATTTAGCATGGAAATGGTCAATACATGTCATTATTGACGAAAAATAAACACGTTGAGTAGACACGTTGAGCAAATTTTTGTTTTTTTAAACTAATCACAAATTTCTCGGCAAAAAATGATGGTAAAACAGTTTCTGTTGAACTTTTGGTACAAAAACATATCAAATTTATGATTTCAATCTAATAACTATTTAATCAACATGTTTAATTTATGTCAATGATGACAGGTATTGATAATTTCGATTCCAAATATCTCGAAAACCATTACTCGTAGCAATTTTTACTAAGAGACCTTTTTCACGTAAAAAACGTCGTAAATGTATATTTTTTTACTCAGTAGTTTTATACAGGTACGGACGAAAAGTTATTACTCTTCAAATCAGTTAAAAATATGTAGGTGGCGCCCTCTGCTAATCAGAGTCATATTGACATCAAAATCAAATTTCTCATGTCAAAAAACTCCCAAACACGAATTTTCACCCAAATGTTGACGTTACTTCAGAAATTATTTGGAAAAAATCGAAATAAAAATGAAACTTCTACACCCTGTATCTCCGAAACTAAGCATCTTAGGACATACATTTATACGAACTTTTTTAATTATTTTTAACTGCAGAAGATGCTGCCGATGTTTCCGGAATACAGTTTGGACCACCCTGTATATCATCCACAGAATCAAATCCCTCAAGTGGCAATGGGCAGGACACCTAACAAGAAGGACGGAGAGACAACACCTTGCAAGAGAGTATCTAAATATGTGAGGGAGACTACACCATATTTCGAAATGGTTAAATAAGCTGAAAATGATGACGATGACGACTTTTTATGACATCTTCTTACAGTGCCTTGCTCTGTAGAGAGCGTAAAACTTCGGTTTCCTACAATACGGCGTCGTAAAATAGCAGCGGTCGTCTTTTTCAGTTAGAACGAATAGTACGACCGCTTTGACGGTGAGTCAGTTCAAATCATATCAAATCAAATATTTAACAGTGTAACACCGCGCTTGCATTATATCAACGTACAAAGCGGTCGCGTCAGGACATACGGTGCCGTATTAGTAAAACCTTAGAACTCCTACTTTTAAAGTGTTTTACTGCAGGTAAAATCTCTGAAAACCCTGTACATACATGACTAATTTTAACATAATATCATACTAAATAAATAGTAATTATAATTATGTTTTGTTCTTTTCAGATGTTTGGTTCTCCAAGTACCCCTGTTCTTGAAAATCCCGAATATCAAACTAGGTGGTACTTTAAATATTTTCTTGGCAAGCGTAAGTATTTTAAGAAATTATTAAATGTACAGGGCGAGTCTTAAATATGTACAAATATTTTTAGGGCTGGGAAATCGCGATAAAAGAAACATATTTTCTTTTTACCGTTTTTGAAATTCAAAATGAAAAGGTTCAAAATAACCGAGATATATTACTTTGAAAATTTAAAGAAAAAATGATTTTTCACTTAAATGTTTAGAACCGCTACACCTTTTCTGGATGTTCTTTTTTGCAAATTTAATCTACTACATATGTTGCCATATTATGAAGATATTATGTTTTTTAACTAAAAATTAAAAAATATTTAAAAAAAAATTCTAAAAATTCCAAATTTTCACTTTTTTTTCGCGAAAAAAAACCATAGACGTATTCTACTACCTCTAAAAATATTTGCACCTATTTAAGACTCACCCTGTCTAGCAAGACTTTTACTAAGGCCAGTATTACACTATCAAATTTCGTTGTCAAAGATCTTTTATAAAAGATATTTTTATTTTATAAATATATTTACAGATATTTATATTTGTTAATATACAATATTTTATAAAATCACACCATATTACACTGTCAAATTCTTTGATAAAATAAAATCTTTGACAAAAAATTGATAGTGTAATAATCGCCTAAGCATAAAAAACAATTTACTTACAATTTTCGTATAATATTCAGTTGTTACATATTTTGTTCTAGTTGGTAAATCTAAGTTCCAATGCGCACTATCCATCATGCTATCATAAATAATAATACCCTATACTCTGTATCGACATAGCCTTGCCTTATTATTAGTACAAGAATGAGCTTTTATCTCGAGAGACAAAAACTTTCATAACACAACAACTCCGCCCTAAAACCAAAACAATATGGGTGGAGGGGAGTTGAAAGCCGTAACTGAATATGACGTAATAACTGCAAGCAGCTCCGCGCGTAACCATGACCTTTAAAATTGTGTTCTTACGCTGCCGGGCGCTAGGAAATTATTTCAATCTAAACTTGAACTAGAAAACCGCTCTGAACTATCTTTACATAGGATAGACGTGGGCTAAACAGGAAAAGTTTTGTTGTATTATTTTTGTTTTGAAACTAGGACGTGCAAGCATATTGCTCTAAATCACCAACCTTGGTTAATATTAATACAGAAATTTTCAAAATGTTGGAAGTATCTGATGAGTTTTACAAAGGTTTTGAGTTCATACCATAGCAGTACTTTTTATATCTACAGGGTCCAGCAATAGTGCGTCGGGTATTCCTAGAATAACGGTAACGTAAATAATAGACCGTCGGTAACTCCTAGAATAAAAGAAAACATGGGAATTTTGTTTAGGTACAAACTGTATGTACTAGGATGTATTTTAGGAAAATATTTTAACTTCTAAAGGGTGGCTCAAAAAAGTGTGAGTAAATCGGGCTGATTTTTTTGATTAACACCCCGTATATTATTGCATTTTTCGCTTCCTTTTACATAATCCTAAGATATTGGTAAATATGTTTCGATAGTTTGAGAGATTAAAATTAATAAGGATTTAAAATTTATAGAGGTGTGTTGGAATGCCTCCGCAGCGGTTTTTCGGTGGTAGCGCTTGCGAATTGTGAGCTACTGCCTAACCAGGCTGCAAATGGTGACTTGTGCCTTGCTTCCCTATCTCTTTTTTCAGGATCATCGTTGCTGATTCCTCCTGTATTGATGAAGCTGGAAGACAGAAACACTGAGTGTCTACGGATAGTCATGTTTTAGTCATGTTTCATAGCTAATCTTACTGTAGACTTGCCCAATAAATTCTTTCTTCTTTTTTATTACAGTCTCCACGATAACATCTTTTGTTTATTGTTTACTCTGTGCCAAGGTGATAGCGGCGAGGTGTGTTGGAATGCCTCCGCAGCGGTTTTTCGGTGGTAACGTTTGTGAATTGTGAGCTATTGCCTAACCAGGCTGCAAATGGTGCATTGTGCCTCGTTTGCTTCCCCTTTTCTTTTTTCAGGATCACTAGTTCATCGTTGCTGATTCCTCCCGTATTGATGAAGCCGGAAGGCAGAAACACTGAGTGTCTACGGGCAGTCATGTTTTAGTCATGTTTCATGGCTAATCTTACTGTAGACTTGCCCAATAAATTCTTTCTTCTTTGATGATAATAAATATATAAAAATATATTTTTTTAAACCTTTTAAAAAAAATATATATTAATAATACAAGAACAGTCCTGATATCAAAAATATATTAGGTATTTACTTTAAATGATCTGTACTTTACTTTACTTTGCCAGAAATATCGTAATCTTAAATCATACAGGATGTTCAAAATTCTACGCCAATCTTCCTAAAATTTAAAATAATTTTTCCTCGTTTTTTTTAAATGGAACACCCTGTATATTATTTTTTTAATAGATGAAGAATTAAAAAAATAACATTTTTTGTATTTAAAGTATTTCAAAATTTTTAACCGTTTCGCAGATATTCGCGGTTTTATATTTCTAATGGCATTTTACACAGTAAATTTTTATCAAAGTCACCCAATGATTTTTCTCTCGTATTTAATTTCAGAAAGTTTTGCGTAGAATTTTGAACACCCTGCATGATTTAAGATTACGATATTTATAGCAACGTAAGTATAGAGTATCTAAAGTAAATACCTGATATAATTTGATTTCAGGGCAGTTCTTATATTTGTAATAACTTTTTTATGAAAGAAAAATTATATATTTTTTGAAACTATCAAAACATAATTAACAAATCTTAGGATTATGTAAAGTGATTAAAAAGAAAGTCAAAAATACATTAATATACAGAGTCTTCCATAAAAAAATCATCCTTTTGAAGCTAACCTAAGTGTCCCTAACCACTAACAGTTTTTTAAGCCACCCTGTAGATATCAAAATATTTTTCTGAAATATATCCTAGTACATACTTTAAGTTTATACTTAAATAAAATTCCTAACTTTTTTTATTATAGGAGCTAAAGATGCCCGACGCACTATTATATTATGATTATTGACGTATAACAATACGCCAGTAAAATTCAACAACTAATTTTGAAACTATTTTTACTAGTGAATGTTAATTAAATGTTCCAACTGGAGCTTATTAGTGAATGCTAACATTCAAGTTTGTTTTTCTTTTTGGCTGCCTTCTAGCAGCCTGTGACCAAATATCCGGAAATTACAATTATAGCTGATCGTCACACATTGACGTCAGACATTCAATTTTAAAATCCAGACATTTGAAGCAATGGAATTCGTATTAAAGTTAGAAAAACTAGAGAATCACAAAAAAAGGTTGAAACTAAAGCAATCAAACCTCATTCGTACATCTTCGTTTCAACTGATAGTCAGTTATACGGTTGCTTTTAGATGCTCGATGCTTTTTGAGCTTAAATCGAGGATTAAATGTAAAGAATAAATACATACTTATTTTAATTTGTGTTTTCTGTTTTGTTGATGTTTTATTGTAATTTTAAGATGAGCGGATGCCGCGTCCTTTTCTAACAAAACACAAGTTTACTTAATCGGGATGAGTTGCATAGAGGCCACTAGCTTTTTAATTTAAACAGCTGGGTGGTCCGGGTTCAAAGATCTTAATAAAAGGGCGCCACGAGATTATACTCTATGAACTCGGCATAAAAGGATGTTACTATTAAGTAGACTTCAACACTAACCTCGAACTGTTGAGCTTAACTACCATGAACTCAAATTTTACTATAATTATTTAAACTTAAGTGACTCTAACTTAACTATGAGACCAGACTGCAAATAATACTACTAAAAATATTTAAGCAATTTATTGAAATATCAAAAATGTTAAATGTATAAAGAGAATGATGAAATGTATGTGAAATGAAGTAAAGTTTAAATCGATAAGAATAGATGAAAAATGAAAATGGTCTAAGCTATACTAAAACTAAGACGTCATCCCCCTTATTGTATTTGACTAAGAGTGGGTCCCATAGGGGACCCTCCACTGAGGCCGCGAGGGCCTATTGTGGCTCAGTTTCTACAAGCTCTAATTTACAAGAGCGTCAAAGTTCATCCTCAAGACCCAGCCTCTTAATATAGGCCGTTATATCTGAGGGCGATATGTCTCCTAGGTCTGATAGGTCTAGCATGGGTTTGCCAAACATCTCAAACCTGGTCCTGCTCCCAGCGGGGCAAGTACACATAACGTGCTTCATTGTTTCATCATCTTCCATACAGAGTCGGCATTCGGCGTCTTCCACCAGTCCCGTCCTCTGTAGGTGAGATCTCAGCCGGCAGTGGCCCGTGTACACTGCAGTGAGCACACGCGTTCCATTCCTACCGGCCTTTAGGAGTTCTCCTGTTCTATGTTTGGATGGCCCTGCTAGGATTTTCTTGGCATGCTCCATTCCGGGACTGTCATTCCAGTCTCGGAATGTCTCACCCCTAACCCATTCACAGAGCCTGTCTCTTGCGAGATTTTTGGGAACGCTAAGTGTCGGTTCTGGGCCCACGAATGGCGAGCCTGCACCAATTTTGGCGAGGGAATCAGCACGTTCATTTCCCTCTAGGCCGACATGTCCCGGTATCCATATTAGCGACACTTTATTCCTATCTCCCAGTATATTGAGTAGTTTCTTACAATGAAGAATCGTCATAGACGTGCTTTTCGTTGCCTCAAGTGCTTTCAGCGCGGCTTGACTATCGGAAAATATGCATATTGTTTTCCCGGTGTATTGCTGTTCTACCAGCAGTTGCACACAGGTTTCAATAGCATATAGCTCAGCTTGGAAAATCGTGGTGTGTTTTCCAAGACTGTGGTAGATCTCAGTCTTTGGACTGCTGCAGTAAATTTCTGCGCCAGATCCTTTTTCGTTTTTGGATCCGTCCGTGTACCAACACATTTCCGCATGTAATAAACCGTTTCCCGGCTTATCCCACTCGTTCCTATTCGGAAACAGGACGTTGTAGGTGCGCGTCAAGAGTTGGACTGGTGGTGTGAGATCCGAGACCATTCCCAGAATCCCATCCGACTGTAGTTCTTCTACTAGCCGGTTT